TGAACATCTCCTCAGGATTGAGGGTGTCGAAACAGAACTGCGCCGCGCATGCCGAGAACTGTAAAGAATCAAGTGGGCAGAGAACCATGCACTGCAATGCATCACAGATAAGCTTACCTTAGCTTTCATTTCACTGTGTTGCTTCTCCAAAACGTGATACTGCTCACATGCAGTAGCAACAAACTGCTTGGCCACAGTCTCGAATCGGTCCTGCTAACAATGAAAAAGAAGATGAGGTTTCTGCTAACTTATTTTTGTTATACATATATGGCCCTACGCCATGTTTCTCCCCGCTAACAACCAGGTAGCGAATAGAAAAAAATGGAAACAAATGCACCTGTAATTGTAAAGAGTGGGCGCCAGAGCGCGCTGATATTGCTTTTTGATCAAGAACTTAGGCGGCTGCATCTACCGCTTTTAACATAACCTTCTTATCCTGATTTTATCAGCCTGACAGGACTGCCTAATCCGCCCAGACTCCCTTCTGTTTAGATGTGATTCACCCACGACGACTCAAGCGGTCTAGACGCGCGAGCTGAGGCCAAGCGCCCATACGCTAAGCACTGGCGCTGCAAGTGCTAAGAGAATCTGATGCAGGATACATGTAACTCCTCTCGTCCATTGCAGTTGTCCAACGAATAGCATGGAACGATACTGACCTCAGTTGCGCGAGTCACAAATCGTTCAAGCTGCAAGTATGGACCCGCCTTCGCAGCAAAGCCTTACGGTCAGTCTAGGGGCAAAAATTACTCAGTTCCTAAGCGGCGCTATTCCACAAAAACGAAATATCGCTCACCTTTTTCCATTCCTCATCGGTTGCGTCTTCAGCCAGCTGCTCCTGGTATACGCCTTCCTTTAATGAAAGTCAGCTCGGACCGAACGGCTGTAATCCCTTGCTCCAAACTACGAATTTCAGCGAGAACCTCGTTTCGACTGGAAGGAGGAAACTTATCAAGAGGGAACAGATTTCGTAGGGAAGATCCTCCATCGGAATACTTCACGCGAAAGAACAACTCACTTGTATCTGGCAGCATCGTAGACAGCTGCGAGTTCTCTTCTCAACTTTGCGAGATCAGGAAGACGATTCTCAACCACTTGCAAAATATAGTGCAGCAGGGTACGATCGGAACGATGAGAGAACTTTACGTCGCTCAGTCGATTCAATGATGTCAGATCGAATCCTGAACGGTGACGATTTCACGCAAGGTTACTCAAAAGGTGCTCATACACACGTCATGAGAAGGCGGTCGGAAAGGAAGCAATTACAGTCGTGTTCGCTGCGGGGCGTGTAAGGGAGATTGAGTTTGGTGCGGCGCCAGCCTGTTTTCCACCAACTGTTGCCGCTTGCTCGCTTTCGCTGTAGGTGGGGAATGCGCTGGGGTGTATGGTACCAAACCCAGCCCCTTGACACCCCGGAATTCGCAACGATCCGCCCTACACAGTCATGTGTCGGTCGAGGGGTGCATTTCACGCAGATGCTAAGCGTAGGGTGTCGAATGAACCGTCACAAACACAATCGTACGACAAGGATGCTCGCGGTTAGACAGGAGGATGGCGTTAACCTAATCCTCAATTTTTCGTGGT